ATTTTTCTCCTCATTCATGGTAGAATAAAGGAATAAGGAGATAACAGACCAGCTCAGAATTTCTGACAACTTCAGCCTCTCTCTTCTTTCAAAGGAAAGAAAAAGTTAACTCTTTCTCCCTTCAGCATTCTTGGCATGGCAGATGCTAATGAAAGTGAAACAAAAATAGCAGAGCATTGTAAGAAATGTCATTTTGAATTCTGTTCATGTCAAGTTAAATAATAAAAATTACCATTTCCCTGGTGAATATAAACCACAGGATAGGGGGGTGCTAGAGTCACTCAAGATCCTTTCCCTTATGGTGTCATTATCCTCAGTAATTTAATATATTCCATTAATAAAAAAAAGCCTAAGAATGAAGTTAAAGCTTCAATTTAATCCTCAACTATAGAATTTTTTTGTATATTTTACTTTAACATAAAATATCCTATTTATGGGAAATAGTACTTCCAAGGCTTCTGAAGACATCCTGAACATCAAGAAGCTCTTGAAAAGCTAATTTGGGATGAAATAGATATAAACAAAGATAGGTAAAGTGTCAATTTAATTAGACATCAATTTACAAATTAAGAACTATGGAAAACTCAGAAGTGGTGTACAATTAAATTTATTACTTAATATTTATTACTGAACGTTTTTCTGAGAGGTAGATCTGTAGTAGTCAGACTTTTAGCCAGATCAACTTACAAAAACATTTTGCATTGTTTGATGATGTCTCCTCTTTTATTTGTTTAATAAGTTTTCACTCCAAACCTCATCAAAGAAATACTACAGAATAGTGCTATTTTAACATTATGATTTCAGATAAAAGCACACGTGTCAGTTTACTCAACACAAAGGTTTTTATTCAGAGAATGTTTTCTGAAACAAACTTGAATTGTACAGTTGTTTAGATGAGTCCAAAACCCTTTTTGTTTTGTATATTTCTATAAAAAAGAGAGAGATAAAGAGACAGTACATATTATGACTTTGGTCTATTGTGTACATTTGTGTTTTCCACAATTATCCAAGGCTTCAGTGTTAAGCCTTTATTTTGCCCTAACGATGTTTTCCTGTGGTAAAGTTCTATTTTAAAATGCATTTGAATGCAAAATAACCGTAAGTCCTCCAAGAGATTAAACAATGTTGCAAAGAATATGGCACAGAAAGAAGTTTGAAAGAAATATATTAAATTTTCCTACTTTTTATTGTATTTAGTTTCAAATTATTTATAACTTATGTAAACTCATTTTGTTTGACATATACTTCTGTTTGTGAAAATTGTTTAGATATTTGGGTTAAGTTGGTGTGCATCATGGGTTTTTTTTTCCATTGAAATTAAAGAAAAAAAATTTTTTTTCTCATTTAACGTTTTTTCATTTAGGGGTAGGGTCTTCAAGAATGAATTAAAAGTCACTAAGAAGAAATATTGATATTTGGTGATTCTACTTTTTAAATATCTCATACATGAGGAAAGAGTAACTCAAAACTATCTTTACTAAATAGAAGAAGCCAAAACAGTGGTATGAATATAAAATTTATGTGCTACTACATTTTCTCTGAATTGCCATAGGTGGGTGGGGCTGGAGGCATTATCTGTTTTCTAATGAAGTGGAATTCACTATCTGAATATAGAAATCCATTGTGAAATGATACCTGCATCAAATTGAAAAGCTCCAGGGCTGTGTTTCATTGCTCTACCTATTGTCTTGAGATCTCAATAATAGACTCTTAGGGGTTTGGATTTCCCAGAATTCTTGATTGTGACAAAGTAGCACAAATAAAAACTCCCACTCAGCAAAGATGTAACTCAATCTTCTTTGCTTCTTTAGTAGTCTTCATGAATATTGTACATCTCAATTTTTAAGCTTTCACGTAACATATCAGAGTAACTGCTTTTATAAACTTTGGTCAGTGCAAAGACTCCATAGCATATTATTTTGTCCAAAGGAGCAAGTAACAGAAGTTTATGTAAAATGCTTTCTGTTACAGAAACTTAGCTTTAAGCATCCAGCTTTGTCAATTCCATAAGGGAAAGCTCTCCAACATGGTACACATTCAACTTCTTTGACACTAATCTTCAACATAACAGTATTGATGGTTTATACTAATTTCCTATTTAAGGAAGACTTTAGTTACTTCTTTGCATAGTGTGAGATTTTACTCTTAAAAAAGAACTCCACAAACGTCACTCAGGCAAGTTTCAATTTTAGAAACCTGACAAAATATTATCACAGATTTGTACAGTAACAAATTAAATTTTCTATTGATTCTTCAAAAGCAATTAAAATAATATCCAATATTCTTCATATTTTATATACTATATAAATATATATTTATGTAAATATACATATTACATGTACTATATATTATATGTTATAGTAACCATAATTTTACTATATATAATAAAAACAAATTTACATAAATAAATTTGAGTATTTACATATTATTGTAGAAGTGAATTAAAAGAAAAATACAATTCCAGATGATATTTGAATTCTATTTTTGATAAAATGATGGGAAAGCTAATATTAATTATCCTTCCTATATTTAGGACACAAAATTATCTTAAACAGAACAAGTGTTTATTTAATCCTTCCTTTTGAAACTGGAAGAAGAAAAGACCAATATTCTGATGACTTTAACAAATGTGATGTTTTGCAATGACAAGCAATGGTGTCTAGTTTGAAGGTCACTCCTTTCATTTAATGTTTATGTCCTCAGGTCTTGTTTGTCTTACCAACAAAAGATTTTTTTCAGATTGGTGGATTTAACATCTTTATAATAACAAATATCTGGTCTGCTAGTTGACTACTTATCTATATACCTATTACATATGCACTGATTCACTCAGTTTTATTATGTAAATATAAGGATAGAAAGAGAAAATAAAAACATGCCAAAGAAAATATATCAACATATGCCTAAGTAGTTACATTAATTGAGCATTAAATTTAGTTTGGGGGCATCCTGACACGATGAAACTGGAAACATGATAAATTATCCAATTGTCATGATCTGATAAAAACCAATATATCAATTCTTCAAATGAGATCATTTTTTTCTTTGGTGCTAAATCACCCAGTCAATTTAATGGACAATATAATATTAAATAGAATCCTTAAGTCATATTATGATGGCTTATTGAAGGGATCTATCAATGTGGAATTGAGGTCATATCAAAATGGGTTTGTTGCTAATAAATTACCCCACCGTGGGACAAAAGAGTAGTTCTTTGGTTTAAGAAACTTTATTTTGAATATATGCATACGTGTGTGTGTATCTGAATGACTAGGCTGTGCACCAAAAATTAATACATTGTAAAGCGACTAAACTTCAGTTTAAAAAAACTTGTTTTGCAAGCGGTTATTTAAATAAAAGTAAATATATTCAGTTTTAGAAATAAAACTGGACATTTATATGTAAATAAGCTTCTTCAAGGTTCAGTGAAATATATTTACAATGACATCCACACTTTGATGTTTCATTTTTTTGTTTGCTTCTGAGGAAATTTGCAGTCTGTAATCTGTATATAACGCAATTCAACAAACATTTATGAAGAAATACATACATTTTCCAGTTACTTTGCTAGGGCCTGAGAAGCACAAGAAATCAGACACTGCTCATTTTTCACAGTTATGAAGTTTGTGTTGGGTTGTCCTAGGTATTGACACACTGACAGTAAGTGTGTCTCTGCCAAAAGCATATTTCAGTACTAAACTCACTGTGGCAGTATATTACTACAGTGGAAATTTTTAAGCGTTTTTCTTTTTGTAAAGAAATCTGTAGATACCATCTAGTAAATGCTGCTGTAGTGTATGATTCTAGTTATTTTAATTTCATTTTCAAGTAGGAAGTATAGTTATGAAAATGCCAGTTTGACTTTCCAAATGTGCCGTTTACTGAGACTTCACTTAGCTCTCCTCATTCCTGCATGATTAAAATATGCCTAAGATCTATCTGAGTGCACATTTCTAAACTCAAGTCAAACTTTCATCAATATTTTCCCAGTGTTCAGGTGCAGAGCTAGATATATCTGTCATTTCTCTGTCTCAAGAATTACTTGGCTGTTTCCATGTATCAGCATCAGTCATCCTTAATCCCCCAAAGATAACATTGGGAAGAATGAAATAAATCGGAGACTCTAATCACTCTTTGTGAGAGTCGGAAGATCAGCTTTGATAGTGGATTACTGGATGCCACATGTTCTCATCAGAACATCACAGATTGGATTTAGCACAAAAATATATTTTTCTGATCTGTAAACAGCACCAGCTGAATCCATATTTCTTATGAATGTCCTGCCACAGCACTCACTGTGTCTTCTCTTCATCATGCAGCCAGTTGATTCTAATTCCCTTTGAGCACAAGTTCCAAGAATTTACATCTGTCACTTGGAGCTGAGCATCCTGAAGCTTTACCACCATTCCGGGCACTCGGAACACAGTTGCATTGCTGCATTTCCTAACTTAGATGTGAATGAAATCTCTTCAAGGGGCTTTAAGTTATTTGGCTTCAGTCGACCTAGAGGTACTGGTATCAACTATCTTTTGAGAGCTTACCTTAGCCTCAGATTGGCAGCTTGAACACATGTGTTCGTTGGAGGTAATAATCCCAGTCTTTAGGGTTGGATTTTGACAACATTCCACCATTATGGCTCGGTTTAAGCAAAATGGAATTGATTAGGATTACCCATCTGTCAAACTTCATGTGTTTTTGGTGGGCTAAGGAAGAAATGCCTTTCCCCAAAATATTAACTGACCGATGTCTAGAAATGAAAACTCCACTTAGTGTTATCATGTTAGTATAATCATGCCAACTCAAATTCAAACATATCCAAATGTCAGCTGTATCAGGCCATTTAACCAGCCACATATCTGAGAAAACTGGCTTCCATCATCTCAATGTAAATTTTAAAAACAGTTCATTCATCTACTCACTCACTAATTCGAAAAATATTAAGCATATTAAGAACAGTGAGTTTAAGAGGCAACTTGAAAGATGAGTTAATATTTCTTCAGTCAGAATGATGTTAGAATTGCAACCACAGACGTTTCAGTGTTTCATCTCAAAGCTAGATACTACGCTGGTTGTCTGCTATGTGTTTAAGGATGAATCAAGCATACTCACCATTCTCTAGAATTTCCTCCAGCACCAAAAAGGACAGGTCTCTGAAGGATAACAGTGGTGGAATAACTCCTACAACAAAAATGTGAATAAGAGGTTAATGGCGTGCACAAGAAAAAGAACTTCTGCCTTGATAGGACATGGAATATTCTTAGGAGAACTCTCACATCAACTGTCATTCATTTATTTAAAAATATATTTTTTCGGTGTATTTTTGTGTCATGCACTTTCATTTTCTTTTCTAGCCTTCTTTAAAGAATGAACCTTATTTTTCTCCAGAGGAAAAGGAAGTTTATTTCCTGCAGCTCTTTGGGTAATAGTCTCTTTAATCCCTTATCCAACCAAACACTTCTTATAACCAAATTATGTTCAGATATAATCTCAATGGTCTAATAACCAGGAAAGGAGATGAGGACAGATCCTTGGAATGAGACATACATGTTCTTACAACAGAAAGACTCTAGAGTGTAGGGAGTGTGCTAACCCTTAATAGGGAGGGCTGGACTACATCCACATGAACAGATGGAAACAAACTCAAAGTTGCAATACATCGCCCCTGCTAGTGCATTCCTCTCCACTGATATACCAGTCCTGTTCACTGTGAGAGATTTTAACAACACTATTATTTCCTTGTTCCAGAGTCATCTGTCATCATCTAACACTAATAATAATCTAACACTTAGATGTGAGCTAGTAAATGATTAAGCTCCTGAATTCTGCCCCTCATTTCTCTGACCACTCCTGACAGCAACAATTGCAGGTTGGGGTCCCAGGAAGCAGAATCTGAAAAGATGAACATGCAGAAACCTTATTACAGTGTGCTAGGCAACTTAGAAAAGAAAGAAAATGAGGCAGAATTGGACAGAAGGAGAAGCTGAGCTGTGATGTAGCCCACACAGAACCCTAGCCAAGCCCATGAGGAGCTCTGAAGCGATGATGACCCTTCAGCACTGCCTTCATTGTAGTTAGAGGGCTGGGTTTAATATTCCTGCATCTGTCATCACTGAATGCAGGTTATCTCTAGGAAGGGGGTGTGGCCTTGGGCAAAGCAGCTGACTCTGGGTTGGGGCATTTTCTAGACGGGGCTTGTCCTCTAACGGTAGTTAGCTAGAACCTCCTGAGATGCTGAGGGACTAAGTCTTTTAGTCCTGAAGGGGAGTCTAGGTGGCACATCACAAAATCCACTCTGGAAATTTTAGAGGCAGTACTAACCTCTAGTGCATGTGGCCACTTTTAATAAGATAGAGAATAATAGCATGCCAAAAGCTATGGCAGATAGATGTATGAACCGCAAGCAGTGCACACAGGTCCCTGTGGTATCCAGGGGACTCAGATTAACAGAATCCTCTAGATAAGGACCACAGGCACTCTACAAGGGAGGGTGGGTCTGTAAAGAGCTAGGATCATTACAAGAATTGCTCAGCATTAGCCCAGAAAATACCAATGCAATGGCTTCTACACTAACTACATAGAACTAGGTCAAACTTCAAAAGTTAAAGGTGCAGTCCTCCACTATACTGCCCTTGCTTCAGACCCCAGCCACAAACCTGAGGGTTCTCCGGGCCACCTTCACTTCTGACCAAATGGCTACAAATTTGAGGGTTTTCTCTATCCTCTTGGGTTTGATACTTGCTACAATGATTCACAGAGCTCAGGAAAGTGTTATACTATTTATTACAGTTTTATTACAGCAGAGAGGATTCAACATAGAGCCAGTCAAACACAAGACACATAGTCAAGGTCTCAAAGGACCTCAAACTCAAAGCTTCCAGTGTCCTTTCCTTGTAGAATTAGGATATGTCACGCTCCCAGCACATGGGTATGTTATGCCATGTGATACAGCATATTGCCAATCAAGGATGCTCTTCTGAGTTTAGGTGTCCAAACTTTTTATTGGGGCTTCATTATGTAGGAATGACTGATTGTGACATTGCCCATGCAACTGAACTCAATTTCCAGCATCCTTTCCTTCCCCAGTGGTTGAGTTGATACCACATGGCTCAAAGCTAGAACCCCCTAGCCACTTGGTTGAATAGTCACCAGCCCCTACCCAGAGTCATTATCATTACAAACTATCTACAATCCCAGCATGACTCAACTCATGAGCATAAACACTCAGAGTCCACCATAAACAAAGATACTCTACAACCTGGGGAATTTCCGAGGGTTTGGAAGCTACTTCCCAGAACTGGAGACAAAGGGCAACCAAATTCCTTATTACAGAGAAACCAGCCACTCCCTGAGCCAGCGGGACCCAGAAGACTTCATGGCTCAAAAGAATGTTTTCTTTCATGCTCTGTAAGGACTCAGTACACTCCTTCATATAACTACTTACTACCTTGGAAGATAGGACTGAAGGGTCAGGGGTAGATTGAAAGAGGGAAGGATTGAGAAAAACTGATTCTTCACATAAAATACTTTTATATGAGCCCTTGATGGAGAGTTCAACTTGGGATACATATTGAAAAAATAAAAATAATGTTGTTGTTTTTTTTAATTCAAGCTTTAATGTGCCTGATACCCAGTGAAACTGAGGCTCTTAAAAGAGATTAGATCAGTCATAGGAAATAAAGAAGTCATGCTTCCTCATTCACTAGAAAGTAACATGAATGTATTTGGGATGACATTTTATATTTATTGAATATACATCAGCCACAAATCCAGGAGCTGCAGATAACAATTAATGAACAAAATTAAGTTTTCTCTCTGACTTTTTTACATTTTAGTGTGAAACATAAACATGTGCATAAACAATTACAATAAATATGAAACTTTTGTAATAATAGTAAAGGGTCCTAAAGGAGCACAAGGGTGAGGCACTTAACCAAATCTTGGAAAGGGTGATCAGAAAGATTCGCAGAAAAGTGAATGTAAGATGAGACTTGAAGAATGAATCAATATTCCATCAGTGAAAGCAGTCAGAATTGTAAGAAAATCACAGAGTTTTCAGTGTTTCATTTCAAAGACATTGATTATCTGCAGACTCTGATCCAAGCATGAAAGAAGGTCTGAGAGCACTTTGCAGACATTCAGGTTTTCCTTATGTTTCCAGCCTAGACACATGACCAAATGGCCTATCACTGAACATGTTGATAGCACGATTGTAGGTCTTCCACATTATGGCGCAAAATTCTTTCCTTGGATCTGTTTGTTTCAGATGTTCATCAATAATCAAGATAAAGTTTCAGAGAGTATAATACTAAATCTGTAACTAGCACAAAACAGAAAAGGATAATGAATATAGTATTTATGATAGAATCAAGATCTGACAAGATTTTAAGAGGTTTGAGTTATTTAATAATGAAATAAAATAATTATCCCCTGGTCCAAAGAAACAACAATAGGAGTGGAAATACTACAAACTATAACTTAGCATTGTAAGTGGTTAAAAAAAAAGGAAAGAAAAAATTAGACATTAAAGATTTAGTTAATTCTATACTTGATAGGAGACACAATGTGCCTGTCAAAATATCAATGTAACCTTTTGGATTTTGATAATAAAAACAGAGTTTGTGTGACAAGAAAATGAAAAGCTCTTTGTTATGTTTTGTTTGTAATACTAGATTTATTTCTGGGCACTACACTTAATTTATACAACTTGGTTTTATCCTCCATTTTAAAGAATCAGCTACATGAATACAGCTATCACAAGGTGCAGACCATCACATGTTGGGGGATAAAGAGAGAAATCAAGAATTTTGTCAATATTGTACTCAATAAGAAATCATTAACATAATAAACATTTCCTGGGGTACTTACTGTGTAAATTACTGTACCACAGACAGCAGACACACAGTCTCTTGATCTCAACAATTTCATATTCCTGACAATATATTAAATTTAGATTGATTATGGCCTGATAGAGGCAGAAATATATCAGAACAGAAAAACTATCCATGAAATACTAGGGTCAGTATTAAAGATGGCAGCTATTTGGAGATGCAGTGGTGATTTGTAAACAACATTAGGCCATATAAAAAGCAATTAGAAAAAATTAAAGGTTTAAGCAAGACATAGTATGCATCAACTCTAGACTCATTTCAGAGACCAAACCCCTCAAAAAAGAAGACAAACTTTGATCACTCAAAGCTTAGTTTACTGAACTTATTCCAGAAATGGAAAATTCTACCTTTTTAAACTCTAAATAGCATCAAAAGGAGAGGAAAGGATAGGGCATTTATAGGTTTTATTCAGTGGACTCTAGTGTTTTAATAATGTAAGACTTTCAAGGCAAGAAAAGTAATTGTGAGTTCATGTCAGAATTCATGACATGATAATTTAGGATTAGTGGACACAGCAGGGCCAGAGTCTTGAAATCAGTCTTGATGAGATGACTGTTGTCCTGATCAGCAAACTCTTTGTCTAACTGACCATGCTCTTGTCCTGATAAAACTATTTGCTTAGATAAGTGACCTCTGATAAGTTGGTTTGCAAAGATTTCTTACAACAAACAATTTTTCGACTAGTTAACAGACTTATCTCCTTGAATAAAAATTTCTTGAGCAAATAATTTTGTCAACACCGCTTGTCTCAGATGACTACTTTTGGTCATTTTCCAAGTGAAGCTAGAAGATATATCAATACCAACTTTTGTGGTCATTCTGTAAATACTGAATAGACCCCACATAAAATTTGGTTTAAATGTTAAAATTTATGACACCGTAGATGTACCAAGAGGATTAAAAATGTTCATTACTTGAATTGAGGTTCTGAGGAGCGCAGAATAAGCCTCTCAAGCAAGTCCCAAACGGCTTGGGAGAGCAAGAAAAAGAGAGTGGCTCAGAGTTTTATTATGGGGCTGACTTGAATAGACATTTCTATAAAGAAGATACAGCAAAGGTCAGCAGGTATATGAAAAGACATTCAATGCCAATAATCATCAGGGAAATGCAAATCAAAACCACAATGAGATATCACCTCACACCTATCAAGATGGCTTTTATAAAATAAACAAAAGATAAACAAGTGTTGGTAAGAACGCGGAGAAATTGAAACCCTTGCACGCTATTGATGGGAATGCAAAATGGAGCAGCCGCTATGAAAACAGTATAGAGGTTCCTCAAAAAATAAGAACAGGTCTACCACATGATCAGCAATCCCATTTTTGGGTGTCTATTCAAGAACTGAAGTCAGGATCTCAAAGAGATGAGCACTCCCATGTTCATTGAAATATTATTTGTAATAGCCAAGATATAGAAACAACCTAACTGTCCACTGATGGATGAATAAAGAAAATGTGATATACATATTTAATGAAATTCTATTCAATCTTAAAATAGAATTTAATTCTGTAATATGCAACAACATGGATAAACCTGGAGGACATTGCACTAAGTGAAATAAGCCAGACACAGAAAGGCAAATACTGCATGGTTTCACTTAAATGAGATACTCCAAATAGGCAAATTCATAGAATCAAAGAGCAATCGTGGTTCCCAGGGGCTGGGCAGAGGGGGAAGTGGGGTGATACTAATCAATGAGTGTAAAATTCTGTTATTCCAGATGAATAAGCTATAAAGATCTGTCCTACAACATTGTACCAATAGTCAACAATACTGTATCAGACACTTAAAAATGTGCTAAGAGGTTAGATCTCATGTGAAGTGTTCTTACCACAGTGAAATAATTTTAAAAACAAATTATAAAAGTCATTTTAAAAAATGGGACTTAAGCAAGGTTCTCGCATGTGGGCAAGGGCTTGTATGGTTTGAGTTTCCCTCCAGCACCAACGGAGAGAGTACCCAGGATTTCTCATCAGTTTGCCCAATGTGAAGCCAAAGGTTTAAAAGAGGTTAGCAGTCAAGTATCAAAAAATGGAGTAAGACTCCTTACTTTACTCTGATCTATTTTCAGCCAAAAATATAACTTGGGGATGTCCCATAACTTTGCAATATTTAGGCATGACTCATTGAGAGTGGTCCAATACCAGGAGATAGATTTTTAGTAGCAAGGTCACTAGGGAGATCTAAAGTAAAAGAGTTTGAGATTGAACATGAACAGGGCTCTTTTGTGAGACAGTTTTGGAATATGCACCATCAGTTCCTCAGTTCTTTGCCAAAATCTAATTTTGTAAGTTTGGTTAGAAAGCTAGCAAGCATGAATGGTCTATGTGGGTCATTTCAGTGCAGAAACAAAACTCCCATCACAGATACATCGTGATAACAAGCTTTAGGTTCCTGGTTTCCTGGCCTGTTGTAGTGCTGCCATCTAAAAAGCCACTGGGAAAATAAGCAGATTTATTACAAGGAACCAGTACCAAAGGAAAACTGAACAGCATCAAAATGAAAAAGTACAAACCCAAGAGTCTGTTCCATTATGCATTTTAGCCAAAACATGAGCAAAATGTGTCCAGGTATTGGACTCATCTCAAGGAGTGACTGGGGGTGGAAAAAGCATATTAAGAATAGGGATATAGAACAGATTGGTAGCTGCCTGAAGTGTGGGATGGAGGTGGGCAAAATGGGTGAAGGAGTCAAAAGGTATAAACTTCTAGGTATAAAATGCCTACCATTGGCATGTAACGTACAGCAGGTTGACTAGAGGTAGTAATACTGTATCTCATATTTGAAAGTGGCTGGGAGAGAGGGTGTTGTATGTTCCCATCAAGAGAAATTTACAATTATGTATGGTGATGGATGTTAACTGGACTTATTGTGATGACCACTTTGCAATTAAAAAAGCATAGGGACCTGATTATTGTCAAGAGGTATTATGAATCTGTTAAAACTCACTCATATCAAATAAGCAAATGGGAAAAAAAAATCTGAGAATATAAAGTCAAGGAGAAGCACATAAATCAAAGCTTAACGATCTATAGCCCTGTTTACCTTGTTCTATAAAACTTGGGCAGAAGCAGTCTACCTTGACTTGTCTCAACTGCTTGATCGGATAGTATTATGCAGAAGCTGTCTCCTTCCTGCAGTCATCTGCTTCTGGGAGATTTCCCCCCAGTCCTCATTGTGAGGTCTCCGACTGAGACAGTGTCAGTAATTTTAAGATGACTTATGTCTATTTAATTGAGAAACATGAGTCCAAGGATCTACATCCTGACATCTACCCCAGGCTCAGGATAAAACTTCTTGAATGTCTTTTCCAGGTGTCAAGTTATCAAGTTTTTTCACAGGATATCCACAGAACTTTCTCATACCTTTTTAGTGAAATAATCACATTTTTGTCTGTATTAAGGCAGCCTCTGGAATTGGGGGGCCTAATATTCACAGAGTTCAAGAGTTTCTGAAAGTTGGCTTAAGTTTGAAAATTCCATTTGTCGTTTCTAACTTATCTGAATCTTGACAGTGACATGAGCCCTGGAGTTTTTGAATTAAATAGAATGACCTTCAAAGCTCCTTAATAACAGTTCTGGTTAAGTGACAGCCACTGTCTTAAAAAGAGTATTGAATTCCTCAGGCAACTTTTTATTTTTTACCCCTGTAAAAGTTGAGACTTTTACCCATCTTGATTGCAGACATATAATAACCAAAAAGTATGTATAACCCTTTGCTGGAGCAATTGCTTAAAATCCATTTGGAGGTGCTCAAAGGAGCCTCGAGGACTAGATTTAGTTCCTCTCACATCTTTGAAGTTTTGTCAGGATTATGTTGTAGGCACATAGGTCATCAACTACAGCCATTCTTGACTATGTATGTTAAGTTTTTCCCGAAATATTGTTTTAAGATAAAAGCAAGTTTATATCTGATATAAAAATAATACTGTAGAGCTTTGTTCAATACAGTATTGAACCAAGCAGGACCCTGCAGAGGGGTCCCCGAAACAGACTCTTCCTGTTTCTCCCGCCTCTTGTTTATAGAAAAGTTTTAGCCTCTAGGCCTTCCCTGAGTTCCAAAGAGCAAATTTAATCTGAAAAATGAGAAAATGCAGAAAAAAAGAAAAACAGTCAAGCAACCTTTAGTCCCTCAAAGGCTGTAGATAATGTCTTGAACCATATCCTTGAGTTGTTTCACATATGCTAAAACTCCCACCAGGTAAAGAAGTTAACATCATGCCAACCAGCAGCACATATTACCCACTCTGGTTGCAACCAGAGGTTGATGATTGAGATTCGCGAAACATCATCCTGTTACATCACCTCAACCAATTAAAGAATTGTTCACGAGTTGATCACACAACCTGTGACCCTCTCCCTCATGTTGTCTTTAAAAACCATTCCCTAAAATCCACTGGGAGGCGGGCATGAGCTGCTGCCTGTTATCCTTGCTTGGCCCCACGTTGGGTGCCTTGGAAAAAAATATGACAAACACAACCGATTGTCAGTAGATCACTTTTGCTGTGCTTTGTTTGAGTGAACCCAGGCTTGGTTTGGTAATAGTATATTAGCCAGCATATGAGACTGGGAAGAAGTAGAATCTTCTCGTGAGATGTAATATAAAATCAGTTCATGCACCTATGATTACCCTGGGAATTAGAAAAAGTTGTGAATAGTAAGAAGGCTGAAACATCCTAAGGGTCTTTCATTTATATCCTAAGGAATAATGTATGTATTCCTGATTAATAAGATCATTGAAACCTAGAAAAAGAATTTTATAGACAGTTACTGTGCCAATCTGTGTGTCCAAATATGAATATATTTTTAACTTGAAAAATATGGGATTGCTGAAATATATTTATACTGACACAATTTACTTATAAACCATGAATCTAAGAAGACTGAACTTCTGCCTAAATTTGTTAATTTTCTTTTTTTTTCCATTTTTTTCCTCTGATTTATCATAACATTTTGTGTATATTTCCCTGTGCTATACAGTGTAATCTTGTTTATCTATTCTACAATTTTGAAATCCCAGTCTATCCCTTCCCACCCTCTACCCCCCCCCCCGGTAACCACAAGTCTGTATTCTCTGTCCATGAGTCTATTTCTGTCCTGTATTTATGCTTTGTTTTTGTTTGTTTGTTTGTTTTTGTTTTTTAGATTCCACATATGAGCGATCTAATATGGTATTTTTCTTTCTCTTTCTGGCTTACTTCACTTAGAATGACATTCTCTAGGAGCATCCATGTTGCTGCAAATGACATTATGCTGTCGGTTTTTATGGCTGAGTAGTATTCCATTGTATAAATATACCACCTCTTCTTTATCCAGTCACCTGTTGATGGACATTTAGGCTGTTTCCATGTTTTGGCTATTGTAAATAGTGCTGCTATGAATATTGGAGTGCAGGTGTCATCCTGAAGTACATTTCCTTCTGGGTACAAGCCCAGGAGTGGGATTCC